TGATGGTGATCATCTGTTGCAACTGTGCCCAGATAATCGTTTATCCTTAGCAAACACTAATTTTAAGCATAAGGAGAAATACCGTCTAACATGGCGAACCCTACACCAAATCAACGACGGACTCAAATAGACCATATTGCCATCAGTCATCGTTGGAGAGGGTCGATAGAAGACTGTTTAGCGTTCTGGAGTACATAATAAATACGAGAACGCATTTACTTGCACTTCACTGGAGGTAGAATAGCCACAGTAAGAAGACCCACTAGAATTGAATTGAGTGACGAGAAAGCCGAAAGTAGATTCCAGGAACAACTGAGGTCACACTTAGGTAGTTTTGAAAACGAAGCTGACCTAGATGTCGCTTGTAAAGATATACGAAGAGCTGTGGAAACAGCTGTTAGTTATTTAAACCAAATGGTTACAAAAAGCCAATGGATTTCTTCCAAGTCTATTGCATTGATAGATTCTTGTAAACTCATCCCACCAGACTCTGAACGCGATAAAGAGCGAAAGCAAATCAGATCTATGTTAAGCAAAAGTCTAAGGAAGTTGGACTTAATCGCATCTGACTGGTCACAATCACTAATTGTCTTAATATATAAGAAAGAATCAAAATCGTCTTGTGACAACCATAGAGGGATTAGTTTGACTAATATGGCATCTAAAATATTAGACTCAACAATTATCGGACGCCTAATCAAGACTCCTGAACTGCAAACACAAGAAAATCAAGCTGGCTTCAGACATCGTCATGGCTGCAGCGACCACATATTCATCACTCTTCAGGTTTTAGAAAACAGGAATGCTTACCGGCGTCCGACAATGGTGGTCTTTCTTGACTTAGAAGCATCGTTTGACTCCATAGACTGCGAGATTCTGTGGCAGTGTCTATCATTGAAAGGCGTACCTCAGGAATACATAAACCTTGTGAAGGCTTTTCTGGACATAACTGTTGGGGTGATCCAGAAAATTGCTTGCAAAAGACAAGCAAGCATCAGGAAACACCTAGAAGCGTTTCATCAAATCAGCGTTCACTCGGAGTTTTTGCCAAAAATATCAAAGAAGCGAATCGTCTCATGCAGAGGCTCTGATTGGTTGGCTGCTACACTGCTACTAATTTTAGTAGCATTTCCAGAATCTTCTAGCAACCCAAGGACATTTAAAATATTATAAAAACCCTGTATTTTCTGTATTAAAATGAACCTTGGAGTAAACTACTTCTCATATACTTTGAGTCTTCTATCTCGTGTTCAGGTCGCTGCGTAGTTCTAGCTCGGGGGTTATAGAATAGCTTAGGAGACGAATATAGCGTTCAATCTGCAAGACTTATCAATAACAGCTTCTTTTCCAATGAATGTAAGGAGATGTGCCACAATTTTATCACCATTAACATCTTTCTTGGTTATCTTCCAGATTTCAAACATTTTCAAATAAATCTCAAAAGCTTCCGAAGTTGAACGAATGACCAACTGTTCTATTACAGGCTCCATCGCGATGCCAATATGCTAACTAGGAGCATTTGAATTATAGTTCAAACTGGGAATCCCAAAAATAACTCAACTTAAGCAAGAAGTACTAGATAAGTATGGACAAATTTATTGTATTTGAAATTCGAAATCAAGTATTCAATAAGTACAAATGAATTGTTAATTCATGCAAACACCACAAGAATATCAATACTGTACCTCCTGTACTAATACATCGATTTTGGCATTTTTAATAAATTCAGTGTCTCTGACTAGTTGAATTAATTGTTGGATTCGTTAGTAAATATTAATAATCCCACCAAAAATCTACTACTTAACACTTGTGATCAAAATACTGACATAATTAGAATGAACTTCATGCAAATTTTAGAAAATAATTATAATGAAAGTTGACAGAAACTACGTTTCACGGCGTTATTAGTTCTCTATTATGCTGTAATGAAGACAGGTCAACAGGTTAGCAGGCCACATAATAGATTTCGATCCTCGCAATCAATCCTTCCATTTAGACACTAGTATCTATAATTGAAAACCGCTGAATGAGAAGAATGATTTCAAATATACAGAACACATTCAGTAGGGTTTATCATCTATACACCAGTGTTTGTCGCTTCATTAAATTCCTCAAAATGATGTTTATTCAGACACTTGATGTGTCCTAATATCCGCTCGTTAATCAGCATTGATGTTTCATTACACTTGATGATTAGAATCATCATTAAAATCAATCATGAAACAAAGTCCTTGTTAAGAAGACTTTCAAAGTTATGAATGCGTTTAGTCATTGTGTTGCAAATCAAGTTTACATAAGTGAATTCGGGTTTCTCTGAACGTCAATCGAGAGAAATAAAGTGATTTTAATTGTAAAATTATTTAATAGAAGTAACGCGATCTGTTAGGGTGAGGATGAAACAAAAGAAGACAATAAGTAAGAGTCTGTTATTCACCGTGATCTGTCTCTGTTGTCATATGTGTATTGTAATCGAAAGGCTTTGATGTACCGTTAAGTCACAGATCTTATTATGTTTGTTTCGTGACTGGAAGTCATGAGTATCAGCAACGGGAAATTAGAAAGTCTCATCAATACCTTTACACCTGTTGAGTAAATCGAAGCATGTCTAGATCCACTGGCTCAGTGGATAATGAGTTTGAGTTTGAAATGAAAGGTTCAGGATTTTAGTGCTAGTCTATATGAATGGTAGGTCCAGGTGACCAGTCCCAAACAATATGAAATATATGTTCTGAATTCAGCTGCTAGCCACATACCAAATGCAGTAAGAAAATCATTCTAAACAAAATTTTATATTGATTCTTTTCTTATTTCGACACCTACATGTCTTGTAGTATATAATCGTAATTTTGATGTTCTAAAAAGCTTTAAAAGTTATGAGCACTCTATGATGATGACGGGACGCAAAATGTTAGAGCGTTACTTTTCCGGAGAAACAAATGATAAGGTTCGAACAAGTAGGTAAATGAATTTTTGTCCGCTAAAGTTTATGCTGATAGTGGATTATTTTTAGAAAAAAGAGCAATTGTAAGTTCAATTCGTATCTTTCATTCTGCAATACCAAACCCATATGTTTTGGAAACTAAAAGAGAAAGGAATTCTCATTTGTGTTTTGTTGAATTGTACCTGTTTTGTGAAGTTGACTATATGTTGATTAATTCAAATACTAGTTGTTACTTTGAATTACACAATCATTTCCATTGATGTTATTGTAGTAAAAATTTGACCCTTGTAAATGGCCTAGTTGGAATTATTTTTGTGAGAATTTCTCAGAAAAACAATAATCCTTCAGATGCATTTTAGAGTGTGTTTATTTAAATTTTATTCCAACCAATAAGATAGTCAAATTCCTAATGACCAATTAGGTTATACAAATAGTTGCTATATAAACATACTCATCCATCAGTATGGTTTATTTAATTTTATTGAATAGAACTGTGGAAATGAAGATCTTTGCAGTAAGTTAGATTCATTATGATTTATACGACTGAAACCTTCACGTAATGCAATTCATCATATTTTTCTGATATATTTATGTCCAATTTTCTAACAATGCAAATCAAGTCAGTGATATCATGTTAATCTAATTGTATACGGTAACAATTAGTTATCAATACAAATTGAATGGAATTACGTGAAGTCATGAAACGTGAGGAATTGATACTCCACCCAATATAATGTTACAAATACGTTATTTTTATCATTCGTAGAATCAAATTATTTGATCGCTGTCGTTTCCTTACTAAATCCGTTTAAATTCCTTCTTAGGTTTTCGGTATTATGTTAACTTGTTTCTGTGCAGTAACGTTCGGAGCTGAAAGTCTTCACCGATGTAACAAAGATTTTGAGGCAACGATGGAATTTTGCTTCAGTCAGAACATACGTTATTCAAGTGAGTGTTGGTAACAGATTATATAGAATTACAATGTTAATACTTATCATTAATTCACAATGCCCAATGATGAACTCTTATTGTTTTGTCAACGCATTTTTATGCAAGATTTGTTAATTTGTAAGTGTTAGCTAAACAATATTGTGCATGACAATGAGCATGTGTTTGATTCACTTTCAAGTGACTAGTTTCTAATTGTAATAATTTCAGTATGTCAAGTTAGAGTTGTCATGTAGCCAGGAGTAAAACACTCCATCTCATCACGCTACAGTGAACATAGAGAGTTTCAAAACTGTTATACAACATAGAGTTTACTACTTGATGCATTATTTCTTCTGACTATATTTTGTATGAACAACAATCCATAATCGTTTGTAACTGTACTGACGATCATAAGTTTGAGCGTATTAACACATTTGGTCAATGTGAATCTTAAAATTCGCTGCATATACCTGTTACATGCAACGACGTTTCCACAAATATATCCTTGAAGCAATTATAGATATAGTCAATTTTAAAATTAAATTGAATTTCATAATTAAGTACATGTGAATGTCCATCATCATCCACTTCAAGAAACGTTTACTGCTACCATACACCATTAGCGTTCCATTGTGATTATCACTATCGTAACAACATTATGTCATGTGTGAATGAACGTTTATTAAAAATTATTCGAAGTCCTATACTACTGAAATGATTTTTCAGTCTTATCATTGCGTATATGAAGACATGTCGGTTGAAATAATTTTTGATCTGTTAATTTAACTGTTCATTACCGAAATTGTGTTATCTTGATTATTTCATAACTTTGTTAGTTTTCTTAAGCGGAGTTCTATCGAACTAATCGCTGTCATATAAATGATTCTTTATGCAAGTTAACTAATCTCTGTTCCAGAAGATTATTTAAATCACATTTACATCATGATTGAAATCCATTCAATGTAACCATTACTTCATACATGAAACAACATGATGGAAACGAATAACAGAATTCGTTATGTAGGGATTTGTTATTATATTGTTATTCCTACTCGGAGGTCATTTTTATTTATCCGTATGGTTTATATCGTGTCTTTTGAAACGCCATTGTTTGTCTCTTTTTGTTTAGACAAGTTCACGGACTTAAAGAGTTTGAGAAATGCTTGCATGAGTGATAGATATTGCAAACCTAGAGCAAAGAATTGTCTTTTATCTTCACTTCAAGGTTCGGCATTCAGTAAATGTCCTTTACAAAGAACCTATATAAAATCAATAAATCGGATGTTCTGATTAACATCTGGTCATCTCTTAGTCTATTATTTGAATTTGTAATGTACAGATAAATAAAGTCTTTATTTTATTAACTGTAATTTTTCGAAACAATAATTACGGATGATAAATTATAAACAATGGCTTCACCAAATCTTAGTGAAATAAATCTAGGTTAATTGTTAGTCATTTTTAGAATTTCTACTTGATTAGCCTGATTAAGAATGATGTATTTGAAATAGAATAAATATGGCGAACTTGGAAACTTCGAATCTCGCAATGCATGATCGTGAATGCGCACTGTTGAGTAGTCCCACAATAGGCCGAAACAGCCGTCTAGTGCTTCCAGGTTTTCCATGGTGGTCTATTGAAATTATTATATTTCAGTCAATCATTTTATAATTGGCTTAATTTACCATGTGCTTGCATATATAGTTAATATAATAAAGAATTTTGTTCAGTTTATGAAATTATTTTACACGAACCTGTAGATATGAATTCTATAATTGTAATTCGATGTCTTAATGAATTGTTCAACGAAACATCATTTGAAGAGTTGCTATACTTTATTCTTCATACCTGTCTCTAATAGGTATCTTCTCTTATTCCACTTTTTGTGTCCGATCATTTTCGGATCTAAAAGTCTTCAACCATGAAATGAAAAACTGAGTGGAACAATGAGATTTTGTTTTAAGCATGGGTTAAAAATGTCAGGTTAGCGTCGATAACTTGTTTCAAATCTACATTTTTGTATTACACATGAGTATAAAATGAGACAACATTCGTTTATATTGCCTAATCCAAGGTTTAATGTAATTGATAAAATTGGCTATTATCTCACAAGAATAGTAGAAGTAAAACTTGTAGTTCAGCCTATAAAACATGTCACTTGATACGTTAATATATATACCCTCTAAAGCTAGAAGAAAAACCCTGAGGATATAAGTCCAGTGATTTCGGAATCTATATGTTATGTTTTAGTTGCCCAAAATCTGACTCCAGTTAGATCGTTTCTGATTGTTATCGAAATATACATGTCGTCAATCCTCGCATATAATTACCAACTTAAATCGCGTTAGTGAATAACAGAATTTAATAAGTCAAATACGAGAATGGATTTTTGAATAGGTATATTTTGTACAGTCGTTGATCGGAAAGCGAAAGAAGACGAAATGACGTGCAATGCAGAAGGTGAGTGAGCCAACTCAATTTAGCTAACTATTAACCGACATTTAGTCAGACAAAAATAAGTTACAGACATGTGATGAGTAAGAATTGAAATGCACACAAATACGCTTACATAAAAACAGTCAAGTTTGATAAGTGAATAAGTGACAAGGTCAAAATGTAGCTTGAGAAAAGTAGATGAATTGGTTTGTCTAGAAGCTGAAATAAGCTATGTAGGCTTGACATAGGGCCAGCCACTACAAAGCCCCCCTGTAGAAAACAGCATATTAATTTAAAAACATCTGTTTTCGAAAACTTCACAGAAGTGGTATGTGGTCAGCTTTATCAAGTAGCAAAAAATTGTAATATATCTGATAGAGTGCAGTGTCATGTGAGGGGTGAGTGCATTGTACGAAAGTATCACACTTATGTAAAAAAGTAAATGAAAATCGTAAAGACGTGGACAAAAATGGAAATGCTAGGATGCGTTCATGAGTAGATCAGTAAGCGTACAAAAAATTAAAATGCATTTATGTCGTGACTATCTAGACGACAAAGTAACGCATTCATATGAGCGATTCCATGTATCATGAAAACAAAGTAATAAATCGTTTATGGGTATGACAGCGGAATAAATGATAAAAATAAGGTAGAATATAACAGGAATTGGTCTGTGGTATCGACAGAATATAAAAATAAAGGATAGTTGAGTATGAGCTTGTTCTAATAAGCTAAAGTAATATAAATGGCGTCTATTAGCGATTAACGGTTTGGTATTTATGTTGGGTTTATGTGGGATAAACATAATCTAGCAGTAAGATGATAACTGTATTGATGAGTGATATTCGTTGCTGTACTGCAATTGATGATAATCACAAAATGCAAAAATAGTGTAAGTCGTCGTTTGCGTCATAAACAGATGCATCGAGACATCGTTAAATACTGATATAGATTGACCAGAGGAACAGAATAGTGACTGAGAGGACGAGATATGCGGATTCGTATATCTGTTTGGTCGTTTAGCCTAGAATGGTTTATGTTGTTTGAAGAACATGCACTCAACCTCGTTCGTTGAAAAACCGTATCAAGGCATGATGTTTATCTATGATGGCGAGTTAGACTGTCTTGGATGGGACGAACAAAAGTGTAACCTTGAGAGACTGGCTCTAAACTCTGTTCTGATATACACTGCGACTGGAATAGAATCTTAATTGCAGTAATCGAATAATGTTTATCAGTAACAGGTGATATAGCGTGCAGTTATACACGTGGACTAATAAACGAGATGAACATAACCGTTACTAATCGGCCAGTAGTGAGTTGCCGAATATTTTATGTGTGTATAGATGTTAAAGTAAAGATAGTCAATTTTTTTTAATGTCTGGAGTTCGATTTAGATTGTCGTTGAAAAAGTAGGAAACGACGATTGCTGCGCACAAATGCGATGAATGAAAAATAGTTCCTACTATCGGAAGTGACTCCAAACTTATGTCTATGATAAAGTTGCTAACCGTTGCCAGCGTCGAGGTAGTTGCGACCATGTCGTTATCAGAGTGCAGGAGGCTCACTTGGCTGCTTAAACTGAGGATTTGTGTGCATGCTCTAGACCGTCAATTTACCTAGTAGTTTGCAGGTTGTTCGGTGTACGAGTAGCTAGTAAATACGTCAAGAATGTATGACATGTGATAGCCATATATCCACAAAAATGGATGATAATAATTAAGCCACTTGTGTGATAAATGATCCAGAACATACTAAAACTGATCGGTCTTAGCAAAAGTATTATTAGAATCAGAGGCATCCGCAGACATAATAAGAGACGATATCAAAACGAAAAATGGATGGTGAGATAACGTAAAAACGACCTCAACTATGTGGATGAGTGTAAAGTTCTTGCAAAAGTGACACGAAAAAATGGAGCGAATTCATTTAAAGCAGGAAAATTTTACTTCATTGAATAATAAAAAAATTGTCGAGTGAGCTTCAAATATCATAACGCGAATGGAATGTGCATAACATTATAATTTGTTCAGTGAGTGATATGATTACGTAAATGTCATGATTTAATGTCGGCACGAACAAAAATAACAATTCCGTGTTAGGTGATGATATGACATTAGTGTGATAATGAGCACATGATAATTATTTGAATCGTAGTGGAATAATCCGCCGAGCGAATCGATGAGAAGAGTTGACACAAGGACAAAGTACCGATAAAATGATACAATTTGAGCATGTCCATGTCGCTGTCGTACCAGCTTCCATGAATGCGCCGGATTAGAGATCGAGTCGTTCGAGTTGCTCAGCGACTAAGTCAGCCACTTAGTCCGTTTATCAGACGTATAGAGTTCGTGATGTTCATCGTATGCGCAGATTTGCACGGTGCGTTTAGTCTGAAATTGAGCTTACACTTTAACTAATGGCATGATGATATTATAGATGAGGTTTTCCGGAAGCTAGAATAACCTATGTGGTCTTGGTGTAATGATAGAAGTTACAATGTGACTACGAATTAAAACGTCCTATGTAATATAAATTCCACTTGATTCTCTGTGGTTTCTTCCCACTTACCAGTCACATTCCTTTTGAAGGTTAACCAAAGTGACTTTAAAAAATCCAAACATTATTTAAAAACAAGGAGTCTTATAGTCGAACGACTATCTCATTTGACAAACTTTTACCCCAAAAATTATGCTATAAATGAAAAAAGAACCACAAATTACGGTATTACGCGTACTAAATAATTGCTTGATAGTAATATAATTGGTTATGAATTTGAATAGCAGACATTACGTCACTTCCGTCTATAAGTCCTGCAAAAATTCATTGATATCAAAATTAGTCTAGAATTAATTTCTGTCATTTAATAACCTGATTTATATTTGATATACCACTGTTTTATCGCTAAATAAACATTCTCAGCAATGAAAAATCTGATTTCATCAGATTAAGCGATGCTTACACTTTAGGGAATGATACTTTGACAAATTGTTTTCGATAACAAGAATAAAATTATTCATGATCCCAACAGTTTATGTGAATTACATTTATTTCGTAAGTATATTCCACTTATTGTAACAATTATCTTATTTATGAAACAAAATATTCGACTAACTTTTTCGATAAAGACGGTTTTCATGAGATCGTTAGAAATTTACTCATGAATTTCTTCTTACTCAGGAAGGAATCATAGACTCTCGAGATCTGTAAACAATGAGAACTGTTTACATACAGAATCAAATTGCAAATATCTGACAAGAAACAGTCTTGCATCGGAATTTAAAGGTCGAGTATTTAATAATTGTCCGATGGCTAGAACCTATATAAGCTCGATCAATCGTATATTTTGATTATACACACTACATACCACATATTTCTAATTACTTCCTATTCTGTTATTAACATCTTCCTCACATGAATATCAGTAAAGTACTACTGACATTAATGATGACTTCCAATAGAACCAAAATAATAAGAAAAGTGCTTGATACAAGAGACAGCTTTCGTCACGTGTATGAAATAAATTAACTGTAGTATTGATAATAGCTTTCACAAACATTTACTTAGGTGAAGTGAATATTTTGGTTCACCATAATCCTACCAAAAAGTATATTTTATATCATACAAACAAATATAAAGTGTCAAACTGTTCCTCCCAAACATATTTTACTTTACAATAGATTAGATTCCACAGAAACATATCCAAACCAATTTAAAACAACTACAATTAATTATATTTTCATAAGTAATTTATTTCTAAGTAGAGTATTAACAAAAAATACAGGATGATTTAGTAAAAAGACTTACAGTTACTAAAGCCATTCACTTTTGCAGCCATATATCAAAATACTATTCGTCAATTAAATGACGATCTAACAATATTCTGCTTTGTTAATAATTACTTTAATTGAAACAGTTCACCAAGG